CACTGAGGGTTGTAAGAGTTAAAATACACAAGGTACCCCAGCAATAATTAGCGGAATTCCTACTTTTGTGTGTGAAATAATTAATTTTCTATGCAAAATACACAAGGTACCCCAGCAATAATTAGCGGAATTCCTACTTTTGTGTTTGATTCATCGCCAACAAGTCATGGATCTACAGGCAAGTTGATGCATAAATAGTTTCAATAAATGTGCTTAAAAATCCGATGTGAGTGTCCATATGGACTTCGTTGGTAATTCGCGAGTTAAAAGAGAATGTTTTTGTAAAACGTGTTATCAAGACGAGAGTTAAATTCACGTGATATCGCAGATGTATTAGAACTCACGTGTGATATTTCTTACACATATTTCCAAATCATTTGAAGTCTGAAAAATGTGCAGTAATGATAAACAAGAATGAGAAACGATCACTTCTCATGGTAGATAAGGTGGGCCAAATCGTCCTAAAACTTCTTGATGAGAGGAAATTATGATCTATGTTTGTCAAAGAAGATTGAAATATCTACGAAGAGAAGTGGGGGGAGGGGGGGGGCTCTGACGTTTATCACGAAAGTAATTTTTAATGGAGAAAAAAAGAGAGAGACTGATTATCAGGTGAAGAACAACAAAAACAAAAACTGGTGAAATGTTCTTAATAAATGTTTTGTTGAAGGAAACTACCTATTCGAATTTAACGCAGAAACCTTTTCCTGTTATCTTTTGTTTTTTTTAAATAAATAAAACTAAATATCGAAAGTTTCCTGAGGATGGCACGATTGTCGAAACTGTTTTGAGCCAGTTGACGGCCTCGGAATAAAGTTTTTAAATTGTGTATTTAACATACGCTGATCGTTTGAGTGTTGTAATTACGCAAGACTAAAAATAATTATATGTTATTACAAGGAATGAAAACATCAGAATATGACACGTTATACCAAAAGACCAAGATTGTCTTGAACGAGATGCAGAATGGAAAAATTTCAAATATGATTAATAAATCATCAAATTTATAAGTTTTAATGTGTATTGTCAGTTAGCGCCAATAATTTATTTTGTACGTGTATTTACAGAAGATTTACGATATCAAATTATTTTTAATTTTAGTCCAAAGAAACAGAATACATATATTAAACATACCACTTTAAAGGCAAACACACATATAAATGATTTTAATATAGTCCCACTGTAGATAATTTTGACGTCATTGAATAAAATGTGAACGCGAATTAACTCACCATATATTTTCAAAGTTTTATCCACTTGTACCGTACTGTAAGATGGCGCTTCTGTCGACACCTCGCACTCGAATAAGCCTTCCGTGTTGAGGCTTGTCTCGGTAAGGAAGACATGGGTTTGATTTGATCTTTCTAACTAGACAGGAGAATTTCATGAGGCATATAGAAATCTTTATTTTTTGTATATATATATATTTATATGTATGCAACACACACTCATAAATATATATTTATCTTTTGTGCTACCTGACGATATATATTTATAGATTGGTCGGTATTATTGACTTCTAAATTATATTTCAATTAAACTAATTGTTACAGCAGTTTCCATCCACAAGAACGATGTTTTTATGTATTTAAGTATGTCTTCTAAATCCAATCTTCGTCTATTAGCTTTTCTGTGACGACCAATCTAGCATTATATGAAATATATGTATATTTGGCAACTTTAATTTTCTATTTGGGATGACAATTCGGTTTTATATCTTAAAGTTTAGCGTTTTTTTTAAAATCCCATTTTCGTATAAAACATTCCTATGTATATAGGTATGTATTCATCAAACATATGTATGATTGTATACACCCAATAAATGTATATATGCTTGTATACACCCAATAAATGTATGTATGCTTGTATACACCCAATAATTGTATGTATGCTTGTATACTACCCAATAATTGTATATATGCTTGTATACACCCAATAATTGTATGTATGCTTGTATACACCCAATAATTGTATGTATGCTTGTATACACCCAATAA